GGCAGCTTGGGAAGACAAAACAAAGAAAAATTTATTTGCACAACTCATATGCAAATTGAATTTGAAGTTTAAGTAAAAAAATAGAAAAAATTCTTTTTTTATAATTTGCTGTTGGTTTAAGGAGTCTAGTTTAATTATTTTCTGGTCTAGGAGGACATTATTGGTTACACATCTCATCTTGACTTTAATATAGTCAAGTATCGTTTAAATTTCTAGATGAAAGTATTGAGGTATAATTTATATCTTATCAGTGTAAAAACTAATGTTGGTTTAAAGACTAAGGTGATCTTTATTCAAGCCATGGCATATTCCATTTCTGTATACGCATGGGAAATACAGAAAATGGGAAACAAAATGATGCCTTTGAATTGTGGTGTTGAGGGAGAATTTTTAATATATTATGATGTCCCAAAAGATGAAAGAAATCAGTCATTCAGGAAGTGCAACCAGGCTCTCTGTAAAGAGAGGCTTGGTGAGACTTCGCACATACTTTGGGTATGTTAGAGGCACCAGTCCTTGAAAAAAGACCTTATGCTTGGAAAAGTGGTGAAAGAAAGACCTTCAACAAGATGACACAATGAATGCAACATTCGGCATGTTGGAGAGGGATAGATGACGAAGGACAGGAAAAAATTTCAATCTGGTCTTCAATTGTGAGTCATCATCATCTCAATGGCACCTAACGATGACAATTTTTATGTTATAAAATTTACACATTTTAAGTGTGCCTAGTCAATGCACAGAAAAGTTCCCTTGTGCCGTTTGAAGTTGGGCCTCCTTCTCCTGATGATCATTACTCTGGTTTCTGTCACTGGAGATTAGTTCCGTCTGTGTAGATTATAGCAAATTATAAATCACGTTGATTAGTATGAGAATCCCAGAATGCTTTATTATTCTCATACAAAACCTATATCTAGACCTAGAAGATGTTGTATGAACAGAATAAGGAAACATTGCATGATTCAAAACTAAGAGAGGTGTGTGTCGGGTTTGTATCCTTTATCCACACCTATTCAATCCCTATGTTGAGCAAATAGTTTGAGAAGCTGGACCCTATGAAGAATAATGTGAGGTTAGTATCGGAGGAAGACTTATCAGCAATCTGCATTATGTAGATGACACAACTTTGCTTGCTGAAAGTGAGGAAGACTTGAAATACTTGCTACACAGAGACTACTTCCTCCAATATGAATTGCATCTCAACAACAAGAAGGCAAAAATTTTCACCACTGAACCAATAAGCAACATGATGATAGATGCAGAAAAGATTAGAGTTGTCAACAATTTCATCTTACTTGGATCCACCATCAGTACCTTGATGCCAGCAGTCAGGAGATCAGGAGACATAGTGCATTGGGCAATTCTGCTTTCAGGGGCCTCTCCAAGTTACTGAGCAACAATGCTGTCAGTTTGAAGACAGAAGTGTGCCTAATTCAGGCCATGGTCTTCAATCACTTGCTATGCATCTGAGAGCTGGACAATTAAAAAGGACGACAAAAGAAGAATTGATGCCTTTGAGCTTTGGTGTTGAAGAGGAGCACTGAATCTCTTTTCTGTCAAAAGATCAAATAGTTCTGTCTTGAGAAAAATACAGCTAAAATGTTCCTTAGCTGCAAGGATAACAAAACTTTGTCTCATATACTTTGGGCATGATGGTAGGAGAGGATATTCCTTTGAGAGGCAAATCATGCTTGGAAAGGTGGAGGGGCAGCGAAAGAGAGGAAGACTCTCAATGAGATGGATTGACATAGTGACCCCAGGAATGTGATGATGAGGAAGGCAAAAGATAGTTCATGGTTCATATCTGTTGTTCATCCTGTTGCTGTAAATTATACTTAACATGAAGGCACATAACAACAATAGCAATTCTACAATTTATCTGCAAGTCACTGCAGTACAACAAACTGACAAGTGCTGTACTCTTAAGAGCAAACCATAAATAAACAAGCATATACATACCTAAGCTATAAAGTAAGAAGCAACATGCAAATCATCCCCCATTACAACAAACTGACAGAGAAGTGTTATACTCTTGAGAGAAAACTATGAAAACAAACAAACGTACAGATATTATGGCACACCCTGGCATCTGGCTCTTAGTCCTGCCAATTTTGACATCTTCCCTAAGTCTCTCAGCAAGCCTGGGTAAAGTCCTCTGATTCTGCTCCACAGGGCAGCAATGCCAATTAGCTCTTTCTTATATCAATTTCAGCTTCTCTGCTGAGGCTGCTGCTGTTCCCATATATAACCCAAAGGCATCAGGGCTGTTTCCTGTCTCCATACCTATTCAAGTTATATGTTGAGAAAATCATTCGAGAAGCTGAACTATATGAGGAATGTGGCATCAGAACTGGAAGAAGACGCATAAAAAGCCTGCATTATGCAGTTGACACCACCTTGCTTGCTGAAAATGAGTTGAAACTTCCAGCAAACTTTTATATTCTTGCTGCAGAATACAAAAAACTGGAATTTAATATGGCTTACATATCAACATGAGGAAAACAAAAATCCTTACTACTGGATCAATAGACAATACAGTGATAAGATGGAGAAAAGGTCAAAATTGTCAATTATTTCATCTTACTTGGATCCAGAATCAACACTCATGGGAACAGTAGTCATGAAATCAAGACTTGTGGCATAGTTAGGGGGAAATCTGCTGTTCAGGAACTTGCCAAAGTGCTAAAGAGCAAGAATGTCAATTTAAGGACTTAGATGCACCTGATCCAAGCCCTAGTCTTTTCAGTTACTTGCTATGCATTTAAAAGTTGGATAGTGAATAAGGATGATAGAAGAAAAATCAATGCCTTTTGAATCTCAAAAAAAAAAAACTGTTTTGGAAAACGTGCAACCAGGCTGTTCCCTAGAGGCAACGATGGTAAACTTTGTCTTACACAGTTTGGGTGTGTTGTTAAGAGGGACCAGTCCTTGGAAGAAGACATCATGCTTGGAGAGTTGGAAGGTCAATGAACAAGAAGGCTCTTGGTGTGTTGTTAAGAGGGACCAGTCCTTGGAAGAAGACATCATGCTTGGAGAGTTGGAAGGTCAATGAACAAGAAGGCTCTTAACAAGATGAACTGACACAGTGACTTTAACAATGGGCTCAAAGATAGCCGAGATGACGAAGATGGCACCAGAAAGGGCTAGGTTTAGATCCATTCTTCTTAGGGTTGCCATGTCATAGTTAGCTCAACAGCACCTAACAACAACTCTAAGATTTCATACAGTGCATGCCTTTTCATTAGCATGTTGTTTGTTGTTGTTAAGTGCCGTCGAGTCGCAGGCGACTCAGTGACCCTATGAAGGAGAGTCCTTGATGCTTGGGTGTCTTTCATCCTCTCTCCAGGTTCATAGGGTTTCCGGAGGCAAGCTATTATGGAAGTGGATGCCACTCCTCCTTCCATTCATTAGCATAATGGTTGTGAAATTAATACACATGACATGTATCAGAAATGTATTGCTTAATATATTCTGTTGTGTGGATATACAACAATTTGTTTCCTGGTGATAGATATTTGGATTGTTTCCAGTTTTCAGTTAATATGAATAATGCTGTGAAAATTAATGCATATGTCTTGGTACAGATGTGTGTTTTCATATCTCCTGGGTCACATGCTTATAAAAGCTGCCAAGGTATTTTCCAAAATGGTTGTGTTGTTTTATGCTCTGCCCTGTAAGTATGCAAGTTTCACTTACTCCATAGCCTTTGAACATTGAGAATTGTCAGTGGTTTGTGGTGGAATCCCACCTTAGTTTAAAATTGCATTTTTTTAACTGTTGAGCACATTCCTTCTTGTATTATTAAAACCAAATTGTGTTAAAAATTTTTCTAGATTGTTGCTGTTGTGACTATAAGGTGATATACTGCCAACTCAAAGGCAAGCAGTTCAAATCCATGAGCTGCTGTGAGGGAGAAAGATGGGCAGTCTCCTCCCGTGTAGTTTATACCCTCTGAAAACCTGTTGGAGGCTCAGCTAGGGGTAGGTTCCTGAGTGAGTCTTTATTTTTTGAGGATAAATAGTAATGATAAATTATTAGAAAGTTACATCTCCAAAGGAACAGACCTTTCTCCTTGAAAGGAGAAAAGGCCTTGGGTGAGTCTTATTAGAAGAAAGTTTGTTTCCTTGAGAAAGGCCGACATGCTTTTTCCTAGGCTGTAGAGTACTGGAGTCAGTGAAATCCTTTCCTGTTTCCTTCCACTTCCTGCAGCCTTTGAAGTACGGATCTCTTCTTACCTAAAAAAGAGCTGGAATGTTAAATACTTTGACTTGGATAGTAAGGAGTCTCTGTATGAATGCAATGCTTGGAAATTCATGTCTGCTTAATACTGAAAGGAGCTTTTCTTTTGTAAACTCAAGTTTACTGTGTGGTATATTATGTTTTATGTAAAAATTTTTAGTTTTTATTTGAGTGAAAGTTAACACATCATATTGGTTTTACATACAATTATACATAGATATTTTTGTTTTAACATTAATTGCAATTGATTAATAGAGTTAACTTATTATGTTAATTGGAAGCAGGAGTGGCATCCACTTCCTAAATAACATGCTTCCAGAAACTCTATGAACTTTGATAAATGTCAATAGTTGTAGAGGGGCTGCAGGCCTTTTGTTCATAGGGTTGCTATGAGTCATGCTCGACTTGAAGGCAATCAACACCACCACCACAATTATATTAATAATGTCTGTTCAGTCCCTTATTGTATTTTATTGCCTTTCATTCACCCAGATAACTTTTTGTTAATTTTTACTTTCCTCTCCCTCTCTCTCTGATTCTATTATCCCTCCAGAATTTACTTTATCCTTGCATAAACCTTTCCTTAGCTTTATATAATAGTGGTTTTATGCAGCAGTTATCTTTTATGTGACTAATTTATGTCAGTCAGCATAACGTGTTCTAGATTCATCCATGAATCTATGATTGTTTTTAACTTTTTGTTTTGTTTTATTCATTACAGGTATCTTGTTCTTCTTTATGCTAAGGCTGGCATTTGGCTAATGAGCAGGGCTATTAGGTCATCGAGTGAATCAGAGGTACAAATCTGGGAAACAGAAGATGATGACATGACAGAAGGTGATTTAGGATATGGCCTCAGACGAAGACCTGGGGGCATTTATGAAGCTGAAGTTTCCCATTTATTTACGTCTAGAAAAAGATCAGATGGAAAAAACGTGAGCCCTCCTCCCTTTCCAAGAAAGGGCGAAGAAAGTAATGGTGCCATTTTTCAGTATTTGAAGCAAAAGAGCTTGCAAGATGCTTATCCTCAAGGCCCCAGGATTCCTAATTACAGGCGACAATATAGCACAGGTAAGAGCAGCTAATTTCTTGCCTGTTTTTCTTCTCCCCTGTAGATTTTACCAAATCTCTGGTGACTTAGTTTGTAGAGTTACACTGCTAACCCAATGCCCAAGATTCTCTATTAATTTTTTCCAGAGGATAAAGATAGGCAGTTTTCTCCTATACGATTTCCAGCCTTAGAAACCCATCTGATTGAAGATCTTCCTCTCTTTTGAAGACCGTCCACCTTCTCTAAGCATGATGTTCCTTTCCAAAAAACTCTTCTAGTTTTTCATGCCTAAAATATGTGATATGACACAAAGCTTCATCATCTTTTGCTCTGATTGCACCTTCTCTAAGACATATCTCTCTGTTCTTTTGACAGTCCGTGGGATAGTCGGTACTCCTCTCCAGCATTATAACTCAAAGGCACGAGTTCTTCTGTCATCCTTATTCATTGTCCAGCTCTTAGATGCAGTGCAAGTTGATTAAAAAGACCATGGCCTGAATCAGGCACACCTTAGTATTCAAGCTGACATCATTATTCCCCAGTACTTTGGGAGTTCCTCTACAGCAAACTTAACCAGTGCCATAGATACTTTGATTTCTTGACTACCAGTGGCAATGGTGTTGATTGTGGATTTAAGTAGAAGAAATCTTTGACAGTTTCAATCTTTTCTTCATCAGTCATGATGTTGCCTATTGGCCCAGTGGTGAGGATTTTTGTCTTCTTGATTTTGAGATGTAATTCTTATTGAAGGCTGTCATCTTTGATTTTCTGCAGCAAATGTTTCAAGTTCTCCTCACTTTCAACAAGCAGGTTTGTATCATTTGCATAACACAGGTTGTTGATGAGTCTTTTCTCCTCTCGTGATTTCACCTTTTTTAATTATAAAGTCCAACTCCTGGAATGATTTCTTTTTTTGGCATGTAGCAGGGAGGAATTAGACTTTGAAGAAAGATATCATGCTTGGAAGGGTGAAGGGAGAGCACAGGAGTGGAAGACCTCAGGAAAGATGGATTGTCCAAGTAACTGGGGTAATGAGGGTAGGTGAAAGAGATTCAGGATAGAGCAGGGTTCAGAGCTATTGTGCATAGGATCATTATGAAATGTAGTTGACTAATGGCACATAACAACAACAGCAACAAACACAATTCCTGAATCATGCTGTGATAAAATGTTGTTATTTGCAAGTAATGATGAATCAGTAAATGGCTCCTGCCAGTGGCACTGACTCTTGTTTGCGGAATCTTTTATAATCCCTGTTGTAAAACTTCTTCCGAAACTTCCTCACTAAAGCAAAGCAAGAGGAATTTCAGAAACGTGATTTCAGATCCCCAAACACATGTTGCAGCCTGTGATCTACCCACAGTGTTCAAGATCTTTCTTAAAATTAGCATGAGAGTATTCAGATATGTTTCTTCCAATTGTTTATCTGCTACTACGGATGGATAGTCTTACAAATAAGATACTGAAAATGGGACATGTTGCTCAGGTGCCTTCATACAAATTTGCTAAAACTGCTGGAATGTAAGAACGCTTGATAGTAGAGGATGAACCTATTTTGTTGAGTTATGGCCTTTTTATCAAAGCTCGTATGACCCTCGGCATGGTGCTGTAACAAATTACTAGAAGAAAATTTTTATTTCAAATAAATTTTAATCTTACATTTAAATGAAAATTTATCTCAAGATCAGAAGTCCAAAATGAAATTCACTGGACAAAAGCTCAGTTTTTGGCAAGGCTAGGTTCCTCTGGAGCCTGGAAGAAAGCCTGCTTGCAAAAGCTTCTGGCGGCTGCCTGTATTCCTTGGCTGCTAATCCCTTCCTCCACCTTTAAAACCAGCAGCACAGCTTCTCCAATGCCCCTGTGATGTCTGATTCTTTTCTCGCATCTCCTCTGAGTTTTCCACCTCCCTCTTATAAGGATCACTGTGGTTACATTGGACCCACCCAGATAATCCAGAATATCTTCATTTCAAGATCCTTCATTTAACTGCATCTGCAGAAACCTTTTGCCAAGTAAGGAACACATTCTATTCCCAGGTTCTGAGGCTTAAGATATGAATACTGTTGAGGAGCCATTGTTCTCCCAATCCTAAGTATTAAGGGCTGTGGTGGAACCATCTGTAGGGAGTTGCACTGCTGATATAAACACAGCACTTCTCCAGTGGTTTAAATCCACCAGTGGCTGTGAGGGAGAAAAATGAGGATTCTCCTTTCTTGCAATTTACAGCCTCTGACAATTTGCTAGAGAGTGAACTGCGTTGGTTCCTACTCAATGGCAATGAGTGAGTGTGATAGGTATTAATAGAACAGGACTTGTCATTGCCGACTCAGTGTCCCTTTTGTCTGTCTTTGAAACCCTCATTGGAGTAAAAAATAAGGTTTATGTTTTGCCTTGGGTACTGTCATGTTTTTTGGTTGTTTTTTTTTTTTAATTTATACTGGTTTGTTTACAAAGTTTGTATACATTGTTTTTCACACAGATCTTTCCCATTTCCTTACCCCTCCCTCCCTCCACCCATCAAATAGTGTGACCTTATGACTAACGTCCCCATCCACCTACCCACCCTTCGTCACCCCTCTCCTCCCACCCTCACCCATCCTAGGATCTTCATACTTGTTCTGCAATAATGGTTTTATATAGTATTTGTCCTTATGGGACTTAGTTCACTTAGCAAAATGCTCTCTAGTCCCCTCCAAGGTAGGTAGTAATTGATAAGATCATTGCCCCTGCATGCTGCATAGTATTCCATCATGTGAATGTACCATAATTTCTCAATCCATTCGATTATGGTTGGACATTTGAGCTGTTTCCATGTTCTCAAGTTGATAAATAATGCTACTATAAACATTGGTGTACAAATCTCTATTTGTAGATCAGTTCTGATTTCCTTGGGGTATTTGCTAAGCTGTGGAATACCAGAGTCATATGAAATTACCATGTTCAGCTTTTTGAGAAAGTGCCAAATTGTCTTCCAGAGTGGCTGCATCATTTTCCAATCCCACCAACAACTCGCCACATCCTCTCTAACATTTATTACTTGCTGTCTTGTTAAACTTTGCCACTGAAACTGGAGTGAGATGGTATCTCATTGTGGCTTTGATTTGCATCTCTCTTATTGCCAGTGATTTGGAGTATTTCTTCATGTGTCTGTTGCCCATCCAAATATCTTCCTCTGTGAAAATTCTTTCCATTTCTTTTGCCTATTTTGTAATTGGATTATTCGTCTTTTTCTTGTGGAGGCCCTCATCTGAGATGGTATTGCCAAATGTTTTTTCCCATCCAGTAGGTTTTCTTTTCACTGTTTTTGAAAATGTTTTTGATGCACACAGGGATTTAATCTTTACAAGGTCCCATTAATCAATTTTATCCTCTCCACATCATGCGTTTCTAGCTGTATTTGGCAGTCTCTTTATGCCATAGTGTAGGCCTTAAGCTTGATCTCAGTTTGCGTCTGATAAACTTTATGACTTTGGCATTTACTCCCAGGTCTCTGATCCACATTGAGTTGATTTTTTTTATATGGTGTGAGATGTGGAGCCCCCAGGTCTCTGATCCACGTTGAGTTGATTTTTTTTATATGGTGTGAGATGTGGAGCCCCCAGGTCTCTGATCCACGTTGAGTTGATTTTTTTATATGGTGTGAGATGTGGAGCCCCCAGGTCTCTGATCCACGTTGAGTTGATTTTTTTATATGGTGTGAGATGTGGAGCCCCCAGGTCTCTGATCCATGTTGAGTTGATTTTTTTATATGGTGTGAGATGTGGAGCCTGTTTCAGCTTTTTGCAGGTAGCAGTCTAATTTTGCCAGCAACATTTGTTGAAGAGGTTGTCATGTCTTCATTTGATAGGTTTTGTTTCCTTGTTGAATATCAGTTGATCATATAGCTGGATCGGTGTCTGAGTTTTCAAGGGGACTATCATGTTAATAAATGTTGAGCATATCAAAGAAAAATTATCTTGAGAAAAAATTATTATAGTATAAAAGGATATTGTTTCTTTTCCTTTTATAGCAAAGTTTCTAGATGACCTTGTGTGGAAATAGGTGTTCAGAGTAACAAGACTAATAGTATTTGAGGTGAAATATTACATAAATATTAATACTCATGTCTTCACAATCACTAGCTTTGCATCAGAAAGCTGGACAATGACTAGGGATGACAGAAAGAGAATTGATGCCTGTGAGCTGTAGTGCTGAAAAAGAGTCTTGAATATATCACGTACTCCTAAGAGAACAAAAGGTTTCATCCTGGAGAGGATAAAATCAGGCTGCTCCTTGGAGGAAAGGGCTCTGAAGGTCTGTATGACATAATTTGGGCATGTTACAAAAGGGCCCAGTCCTTGGAGAGGGATATAACACTTGGGAGTGTGGAGGGACAGCACAGGAGAGGAAGACAGTCACTGAAATGGATTGATACAGTGACTGAAGGAATGGAGGTAGGTGTGTAAGAGACAATAAGGTTGGCTCAGGATAGAACAGACTTCAGAGCTGTTGTACATAGGGTCGCTATAAGTCGCAGGTGACTTGACAGCACATAACAACAACAACATTAGAAAGTGTCCTAAGAAAGTTTATCTTATATTTTTAGAGTCAAATGCAATATTTATGTACTGCATTATCTCAACTACTTTTTTTTTTTACCTCAACTACTTTTATCTGTGCATATACACACAGGATTTTTAGTCTATAATTTACCATACAGTATTTGAATCTGGGGATATAGTTCATTGTGGATGTCAAGGCCAACAAGCACCAAATTAAACAAGCTGCAAAGAAGCTCTATGACATTGATGTGGCTAAGGTCACCACTTTGATTGGATGGAGAGAAGGTGGCCTATGTTCAACTTGCTCCTGACTATGATGCTTTGGATGTTGCCAACACAACTGGGATCATCTAAATTGAGTCCAGCTGGCTAATTCTGTCCGCCCCCCACCCCCCCACCCCACCCCCGCCAAAAAAAATGGCAAAAGGTGATACAAGCCAGGGAAACTCTCCCTACACAGGATCAGGGCTGTGATCTGAGTAAGGGGTTCGAATCCTACCCTAATCCTCTGACAATTGACTGATCACATCAAAGCATACCTTTGTGATTAACTTTGCTTTTAGTTTATAATTTTTTAAAATTTATTACTAATTTCAAAGAAAATTTACAGAGACTTTGGATTTCCATTCATTCATTGTTGCACTTTTCTCCCCTCCCAACCCTCCCCCCCCCAGTACACTACCCTCTTGGAAA